CTGGACCCAAAAGGAGCTGCTCCCAAACCCACCTGGACTCTTCTCCCGTAGCCTCCACTCCTAAGTGTTCACACACTGCTGGCCAGAACTGCTCTCTCCAGGTGATGAAGTCTTCTTCCAGGCTGGCCAGGGCAGAAGAGAGAGTCAATAACCCAACCCCATTCCCAGAGCTGCCATCTCAGATTTCCATGGACTTTCTTCCTYTACCACAGGAAAAGGGTTTGCCTTGGAGCCATAACTGCACAGATCACTGGGAAAGCACCTGCAGAACACTGAGTGGCAACTGCTGCTACACCTGACAACCCTCCCTTCACCAGATCTGCCAAGTAAAGCTTTCTTATTCAGGCTCAGTCTCTAAAAAACTCAGCTCCCCACTGTCCACCCCTAKCTTGAGGGGCCTTCCTAAATTCCACCACGGCAATGCTTTTTTCTGGGCCTCTCACACACATGGCATAACCCTCTCATCAGACCTGGTAAACCTCAGAGGCAGAGCCACAGGTTGATGTAATGTCCCAAGCTGCTCAGGTGAGCACAGAARTGTAAAAAAAGRAAAAAAWAARRAAAAAATCATTGCCTGAGCTGGAAAATTGCTGCCTCCGGCCATCAAACACTTCCCAAGGAGATTAACCTGCCTCCTTCACTGGGATAGGTGAGTTTATCCACACAGGCTGGGTTAGCAGTGGAGCTGCAGCAGGGAAAGGCAGAGGAGGCTGCTCCAGTGTGCACCCATGGSCATTTAAAGCTGATGTGGGATTGCCCAGATTCAGGATCCCTTAGGAMCCTTCCTGTGCACAGGGATCTGATTGTGGCAGAGACAGCAAACAGAAACACACACTCAAAAACGTGTCAACCCCAACAGTGAGCCCTGTGGAGTTCAATTCTGTCTTGGTAGTGGAGCCAATTCCCTGCCAAGGTCCCTTCAGCCAGCTCTCAGCAGCCCCTCAGCCCCGGGCACTCACTTGCCATCGTCATCTCCCAGCCCAAGCTCGAAGATGCGCTGGGCTCCAAGTTCCTCCAGCCTCTTGTCCACGTACTTCCCCATGGCATTGAAGTGCTCATAAGTCTTGTTCCCCAGCCCAAAGACCTGGAAGGGAACACTCATGAGYATGGAAAAGCAGGAGGTTGGCTTCCCCATCTCTCTGACATCCTCTGGCCAAGCATCACTCAGCAAAGGATGCTGAACAAAGACAGCGAGACCTCCCCCAGCTCCCCATCAGCTCTTGAGTAAGAATTTACCACTGCAGAGTGCGTAGTCAGGAAGCACCTGCACTTCCCCTGAGACTGGATGAACTTCCAAGAGCTCCTCATGGGACCAGTAAGAACCTGGAATGCCTGCAGACCAACTGATGGCCTTTGCCTCCCACAAACCACGCAGTGAATGTTTGCTCACTGCTCCACACAGAGCAGCTTCACATCTCCACCAGTGGATTTTGCTCTCGTTTGCAATTCTTATGCTGCCTAAGGAATTTGGCCAGGGTTTAGGTGAGKTGGTTGTTACTCAGCCAGTTATTCATCTCAGCACAGGGACAGAGCTACACATTCCTCTGAGTTATTTAATTTGTGGGAGAAGATCTGGCCCCAGGCTACTCAATTAGCTTCTGAAGAGCAGCAGCAGCCTGCAGCTCATTTGCAAACTTGTATTCAGTGCCTGCAAGGCTCTTTGGGGCTGTTTAGACCAGTAAACCCTGACGATTTAATGAGTGGAGAGAGCACTCTGAYATTTGCATTTCAAGCCTCCAAATGTACATTTACAAGTGTGGACAAAGCCTGTGCAGGAAGACAGCAGGGACCTCACCCCAGACAARGTGTACAAGGCACAGACATCGTGCTGGGCCTTTCCCCAAGCCACACTGGAGGGCTCTTGGCCTTCCTGCCCAAATGCAGCACAAAAACTGGAATGGGGCCAGTTTTTATTGTAAGTTTTTACTTACAGCGAACCGGAGACCCGACAGGTCGGCRTCGGCCTCCTGCAGCCAGTCGTAGAAATCCTGAGCATTATCTGTGGGATCCCCCTCTCCATAGGTGGCCATGCAGAACACAGCCAGGGACTTGTCGATCTCCGAGAGGCGACTCAGGTCCGACTGCAACCAAAGGGAAGAAGGAATTTTCTTCAAGGATCCCACAATGTGGYTGTTGGGCAATTCCTACTCCTACAGTGTGGGCGTGTGAACGGCACCACGTGTTTACAGAAGGGGCTGGGAATGACCAAATCCACTGAAAATGGAAAATAAAGCCACGGACCCTGACTGGACTGCAAGTTAATATTACTACCCCAACAGAAAATAAATGGGATTTTCCATGCAAGGCACCAGGATAATGCAGAATGGCAAGGACCAAGCCTGTATCAGCATCTCTCAGGCTGATCTTTTCTCCCCTGAATGACACAACTGTCCCTTGGCCAGGGTCAYTGGGGTTTTTTAAGGGACACTGAAAGGTTGTTACTATCCCAAGGGTGCTCAGGGCTAAATTACCAGGTCATACTCCTCTGGATCTGCTGCCATGCCCCGCAGGCCGTAGCGATGGGCATCCTTGGAGAGGCGATTGGCGAACTCCTCTGCCGTGCCCGTCTGGGAACCATAGAAAACCACGATATTTCGCCCCTGGAGAGAAAGAGAAATGCCTTTTAAAGGGTGATTAGTCATTTGGCAAATGCATGGATGAAGCACAGACAAAGGAAATGCCTGGGATCAGGAATCCTGGACTGCAACCTAAAGGCAACCAGGAGTCTGCGCTTGTGCAGGACTCCGAGGGTTTGGCAGAAAACTCAAGGCTGAGCCGTTAATGAGAACATGACTCTTGCCACTCTCAGAGGGGAGACTCAGGTCAGGCTAAAAACCAAAGCAAAGAATAAACCTTCCAGATTATTCTTAACTTCAAGGCTGCAGCATGACTCCTGGAAACAGGAAACACCCTGGATGAGAAGGCAGAACTTGCCAAAGGCTCTGGGCTAATGCCTAAGCACCAGAGCTCCTGCTCTGCTGCAGGCCAGCTACTTTGAAGGGAAAATGCATCCAGCCCTTGCTGCTTCCTGTGCTTCCTCTTGTGTCCAGACCAGCGGAGTCCAATCTGTCAGTTCTGTGTACAACAATCCCCATTCCACAGCCAGCCAGYTTGGGAACCAACCACACAGATAAACAACTGCCAGCCAATGACTTTAAAGCCTCTGCCATTTCCCTCCTGACTTTGATCTCATATTACATTACTTTTTTTCCACCGAATTTTCACTTTAATTTCTTCTCTAAGAACAACTCTCAGGCACAGACTGAAAGAGCTATTCCTGGCTGCTCTGGCTGCTCTCTGCAGCAGGCATGTGTCTGTAGCCAAACCAGCTCCTCCTGAGCCCAGAGGAAACTGGRAAGGACAGGAGCTCCCCCACTTCCCTGCACCCCTTGTAGGCAGAACAAGCAGCTTACCGTCTTCTTCATCTTCTCAATGAAGCTGCTGTCTCTCACTGGAGCTACTCTGAAAGACAGGAGGAACCTCCTTTCAGATGAGCATGTTCATTTTTGAGGTCAGGAATAAGYAAGTGGGGGAAAAGCGGCCTCCAGACCTCAGGGAAGCAGTCCAAAAGGGTGTGAGTCTCCACTGACCACTGTTATTCACCCTGTCTCATGGATGCTTATTGCTCAACCACAGGGCACACAACCATGGAGCAAGAACTCAGACCAGAGGGGAAAGCTGAGCTCCTGCCTGACCCCCATCAATGAATCCTCCCCCAGGGAAAGCCCAGGCACTCAGCCCTGCCCACCAGGAAATCTTTATCAGTTGCTCCGAGAGATTTCACAGCCCAGCAGGTTTACAAGGATCTCACAGGAGCAGGTCTCCAGATAAACCTGAGGAGGTGAGCCACAGTGTAAGAGCAGGGAATGGAGAGCTCCCTGCTTCCACACCACCACGTGCAGGCAGGATCAGTCCTGAGCCATCCCAGGGCACATCCCCCAGGTCTGAAATTACACAGGGCTAAAAMCCCACTGTTTCAACCTCAAAACAGCATTGCCAGACATGAGCCCCGGAGCTGGAGAGCCCTGTGGAGCAGGCACACGCAGCTCATCAGAGCCACAGAGCTCTTGGCAAGGCAGCCCTGCCAGCCCAGGTCCTGCAGAGCTCATTCTTGTGCCAGGTTCCCAACCCCAGGGTGGATCTCCTGCACAGCACATTCACATTATTGCATGGGGGTGGCTTTCCCTAGCTTGGAAGGGRAACAAACCACAGCAGAGGCAGAAACATGGAGGCAGGGATTCACACTGCCTGGCTGCTCTGTTAGGGAAGGAGTCAGAAGAACTTTCCTATCCTTAGCACATCCTTGGATTTTCAGTGTCATGGGGTGAAAACAGCCCTGGGGACCCCAGGAGCCTCACAACCAGAAGTGACCACAGCTACAGACTGGGTACTGGGAGCTTTTTACAGCAGACAACGACAGGAGCTCCCTGGCTGTCCTCCCCACCCAAACTTTGGTAGCAGGCAAGAGGAACGTGGGACTCATTCCTGTTTCACAATGGAAGAATGCGAGGCCGGGTCTCCTGTGGGAAGAGAGAAGCCTCCAGGCAAAAAACAAATGGTTTTGGCTCCAGCCCATGTGAGAATGTGAAGAGCTCACTAACAGTTTCCTCAACCCTGTAGCCCAGAGGGAGGGACCCTGTAGATGTGCAGAGGCATTTGTGGAGAGCACACACAGGCAAATCAGCAGGGTGGGGGATGTTCATAAAAAAAAAAAAAAAAAATCCCTTTGAGCACCCCAAAAGGGATCAAGGAGCTCCRTAACTGGGCCTGACAGCTCTGAACACCGACAGCCTCACACAAAAGAGAAGCACACACAAAGGATGAGCAAAGCCGACCCCAAGAAGCTCCCCAGGGCAGCAGCACTCCCAGGAGAGCTGCTTCACACCCCTGCTTGGTTCTCTCAGCAGTGAACAATCCCCCATGCTGTCATTTGTCCCCTGGTGGGAACTGCAATATCACAAATATCTTAAGGGAGCAGCCCCAGCCCTGCCCACGCTGCAGCCAGGACAGGGGCTCAGAGAGCTCTCAAGACACAGCTCTCACTTAGTTTTTGGCTCCTTGGTGAACTTCTTTAGTTCCTGCCCTTTGCAAACGAGATCCAATTAAAACAACTGTTGGGTTAACTACTAAATAAAACGCTTTTAGARGAGGAGAAAAAGGAAAGTTTTTAGATCCTTTCAGCAAGAGCCCTTTGGAAGAAAAAAGGGTGCAGCACATGGGGCTCGTCCGTTTTCAAAGGAGGCAACCCCGCGCTGAAGTGAGTGGTGGAGAACAGGCTGTGGCTCGGATACAGAAGAAATAATGAGCCTGGCTTTGGAAAAAAGGCTACACAACTCCCTGAAACTGCTTCATCGGGGTGGCCTGAAAATCTGAGCAGCAAAAACACACAGGCACCAAAGGCAGAAACGACACTCCTTTTCACTGCTCTGCCAGGGAAACTTGGAAGAGAAAGTTTGTCCTCAGCAAGGACTGCTCAGACAGCTCAGGGTAGCAGCTACAAGCACCAGGAGAAGCATTGGGTGGAGGGAAGGGGATTAACCCCATTGTCAGAGCGAGTCTGTGGCTCGTAGAGCTCTCCCACCCTTGCTGAGAACCCACAGCACAAACAGCTCCCAGGGGTCTCTGTCACTTCAGTTTCAGAAGAAAGAAAGGACTGGGAAGGAAGCTTCCAACAGCTCAGCAACAATATCAAACTCTGTCCCAACAGAACACCTCTCCTTCAGAAAGCTCCTGCTCCCATCCCTTTCCTGCTGAAAGCACATCCTACATCCTCACAAAAGTGAGGACAAAGCCTGGATGCTGCGGAGGAACCAAGCACCGACTGCAGGGTCTCCTCTGGAGCAGCCTGCTCCCAAGCAGAGCCTCTCCCCTTCCTTCTCCTCCTGTTGCAGAGGGAAGAGGCACCCACTGCACCCAGCTTTGGGGCTGGGAGGATCCCGCCAGCCCCATCGGGCAGAGGAACTCACCTGGCCACAGCCGGCTCTTCCCGCGGGGCCGAGTACACGCAGCCCATGGCAGGGCAGGGAGGAGGCAGACAAAGAGTCCAGGGCAGCCTTGTGTCTGCAAGGGAAGCTGTGGGGGGACGGATCTAACTTAGCTCTGGAGCCACACGCACACAGGCCTTTCCATTCTGCTCCTCCTGGGCGTTAAAACCGAGCGTCAGCCTTTTGTTGAGGAGAAGAGAGCCGGCACAAAAGGTCCCGGCACGGGTCATAGCAGGAGTGGTCCCRTCCACTCCGATCCTCGTGGTGGGGCTTTGGAAGTTACTGAGTGGATCTGCGCAGTCCTGAGAAACTGCAACATCTGGCAGCAGTGGCAGAAAGGAATTAGGAGTGGAGAATGAAACCTCCCAGGATCCTCCGCAGCACACGTCCCTCTCCCATCGGCGTGGAGCAGGGGGACGGGACACAAAACCCTCCCCCAGCTTTGTTCCCTTGGAAACTGTTTATATCACAGCTGCTTTTATATATATTCTTCTTAAAGAAAAAAAAAAAAAAAAA